CATCTTTCAGTATGTCATCGTTGCGGTGACAACCATGAGAGCACTGACTGTGATCATGATTTGAAGTGTGCTAACTGTTCTGGCCCACATGTTGCTTCGCCTAAATCTTGCCCCGTGTGGCAAATGGAATCTTAAATGTGAAAGAAACATATTCTACCTGGATGCCAAAAAACTATTCAAAGATCAGACAATGACTCCATCATCTATTTCCTACTCCGCTGCAGTAACCCGTTCCGTAGCAACGTCATCTATTTCGTGTCAGACTGACTTGACATTGGTCAAGTCAGTAAAACCTGTTGCTACTATTCAAATCAATCGACCTATTCCTGCCATACAATCTAGTTCAGGATCTCATACTGAGATTCAGTCTGAGAAACAATCTCAAATGTCTGTGAAAGAACCAGTAAATCTGTCAAAAAAAGAGAAAAAGAAATTGAGTAGAAAGCAACCACCTTTCGTCCCTTCACCTTCAGAGGTTCCTTTACAGAACTCCTTTGGGCCTCTGGACATGGAGGTTACTCTGTCCTCACAGGACAGGCGGAGGAGTAGTTCCTCCTCACATTAACGCGAGCGATACCCAATTGAGCCTCCATGACTCAATTTTCCAATATAATACAGTGGAATTGCAGAGGACTTAGGCATAATTTCAATGAGATCCAATAATTGATACAAGATTTAAAGCCGTCAGCACTAAGTCTTCAAGAAACCTACCTTAAAAGTACAGATAAGTTTACTTTAAGACAGTACGATGATTATCATTCCTTTTCTCCTCCCGGAGATAAAGCAACGGGAGGCTCAATTATCTTGTGCGGCAGGGCATCATACATAGCCTGGTCCCTCTTAATACAAATCTTCAAAGTGTTGCTGTTCGTCTGACTCTACACATTGCTTTTACGCTGTGCTCCTTATATATCCCACCTTCCTCTGATATTCGACAGTCAAATCTTCAAAATCTATATGATCAACTTCTACAAGCCCTGCATTATCATGGGTGATCTGAATAGACACAATCCGCTGTGGGGAAGTACAAATGCTAATAATAAAGGAAAAATAAATAAGGACTTTCTTTGTGACTATAACTTATGTATCTTTAATGATGATTCCAGCACCTATTTACATCCAGCCAGTGGAACTTATTCTGCCCTCGATCTAAGACTCACAGACTCAAACTTGTATAATGAATTTGTATGGTCAGTCCATGATGACCTCTGCGGTAGTGATCATTTTCCCACTATACTTAAAACTGTTAACCCTACTGATGAGCCACCATCATCCGGGGAACTTTACTAAGGCTAATTGGTCCTTATATGAGGTACTGTGTACTGACACATTAAAACATGACATTTTCCAGAATATTCCAGATCCGATACCGTTGTGTTTTCGGACTTACTGAATGACATTGCTGACCAAACCATTCCTAAGTCCTCTGCGAATCCCCATATTCGTAAACCATGGTTTACTAATGACCGCAAACAGGCCAGAAAGTGTAGGAAGAAAGCAGAAAAATATTTTAGCCGACATCCTGCAGTCCATAATTCGGATAGGGTTAAACTTACAAATGCCAGGGCACGACGTGCTTTTAAACAGAATAAGCGACAATCTTGGAAAAACTATGTCTCCAAAATAAATTCCCGTACACCCATGTCCAAGGTGTGGAACATGGTTCAGGAAATAAAGGCAAAGGCTCAAAATCTTCTGTTCATCATCTTAAGGATGGTGATAAGTTATTTACTAATAAAACTGAAATTGCAAATAAACTTGGAGAAACGTTAGCCAAACATTCTTCGTCATCAAATTATGTCCCAGAATTTTGAAAATATCAGAAACAGGAAGAGAAAAAAGTAAATTTTAATTCGGACAATGGTGAAGACTATAATGAAGTATTTTCATTACATAAGCTATGTACTGCCCTTGGGCAAGCTCATGATACTGCTTCGGGGCCTGATAATATTCACTATCAGCTCCTTAAACATTTACCTGGATCGTGTTTAGTAAATGCTAAATATCTTTGACAATATTTGGACTTCTGGTAATTTTCCATCATCATGGCAAAATGCTACTGTCATTCCTATACCTAAGCCTGGTCGGGATCATACCGATCCCTCTTATTACAGACCGATATCTCTTACTAGCTGTGTTTGTAGGACTATGGAACATAGGGTAAATAATCGTTTAGTTTGGTTCTTGGAAACCAACAATCTCATTACTAACATTCAATGTGGTTTCCGCAAAAATCGTAGTACCATCGATCATTTAGTACGTTTAGATGATAATATCCATTATCAGCTCTTGAAACATTTGCCTGAATCATATATCGAAACCCTTTTAGACATTTTTGACCAGATATGGACTTCAGGGAATTTCCCTGCTTCGTGGCATAATGCCATTGTAGTCCCCATACCAAAACCTGGTCGGGAGCATTCAGATCCCACAAATTATAGCCCTATATCGTTAACCAGTTGTGTCTGTAAAACCATGGAACGAATGGTAAATAACATATTAGTTCGGTATCTGGAAACAAACAATCTTATTACTAATATTCAATGTGGTTTCAGGAAAAACAGAAGTACTACAGATCATATAGTACGGTAAGAATCCTTTGTTAAAAATGCTATAGTAAATAAACAACATGTAGTATCAATATTCTTTGATCTAGAAAAGCATATGATACTATCTGGAAGCACGGCATTTTACAGGATCTACACAATTTTGGTTTGAGAGGTTTACCTCATTTTATATCCCAGTTTTTAACTGACAGGCAATTTCAAGTCCGTGTGGGCTCAACCATGTCTGACCATCACAATCAGGATCAGGGTGTCCCATAAGGCAGTATTTTGTCTGTCACACTATTCAGTATCAAGATTAACAGTCTTTCAAAAGTTCTAAGTGATCCAGTAGATGGACCACTGTTTGTGAATGAATTCAATATACCTTGTCGGGGTAAAAACATGCATGCTATTGAGAGACAACTGCAGTTGTGTCTGAATAAAAAACATAAATGGTCGCTTGCCAATGGCTTTAAGTTTTTTTCAAAAATACAACTAATTGTTTACATTTCTGCAGAAAAATACAGACCACAAAAGGACCCAGAATTGTTTCTATCTGGCACCCCCATCAAAGTAGTTAAGGAGGTCAAGTTTCTTGGACTTATTTTTGATCGTCATGTGACATTCCTACCACATATTAAATATCTGAAAACAAAATGCTTGAAAGCACTTGACTTACTGAAAGTTGTCTCAAACACTAAATGTGGAGGGGATCAGAAAACCCTTCTCCATTTGTACAGATCACTTATTTGCTCAAAACGGGATTATGGTTCCATCATTTATGCTGGAGCCTGTAAAAGTAATTTACAGAAGTTAAATCCAATACATCATCAGGGGATTGAGGCTTTGTCTTTGAGCTTTCCGGTCATCTCCTGTTGATAGTTTATACGTGGAGGCAGATGAACCTTCTCCCAACCAACGCCGTCTTAAACTCACTCGCATTACAATATATTACTAAATTACGTTCAATCCGTCTAATCAAGCATGCAGTTGTGTTTTCTCTCCCATTTACGAAGAATTGTTTCAAACTAAACCCAAACTTGTTCCACCTCTTGGGATCAGACTTACGCCACATATCATAGCAGCTAAAACAGATCTAAAAATTATCTCGCCATATCAGCTGCTGTCTACACCTCCTTGGCAACTAGTCAAGCCAGAGCTAGACCTAACACTTGCAAATTTGAAAAAAATCAGAAACCAACCAATTACTCTTCCAGCAGGAATATATTCAATTAAGATCCAAATTTGATTCTTACTGCTCTATTTTTACTGATGGGTCGACGGATTGTGGCAAAACTGCTAGTGCCACAGTCTTTGGATAAAAAATTATATCTTCTAGAATACCAGATCATAGCTCCATATTTACCGCTGAAGCCAATGCTACACTAGCAGCACTAGAATATATTCAACATCAAAGTAAATGTTAGCAGTTTTGTCATATTCTCCGATTCATTGTCATGCCTACAGGCACTAAAAAATGTCAACTTGACTCATCTACTGATTCTTGCTACTTAAGAATTATTTAATACCCTTGCAACTGGCCAATACGACATTGTCTTTTGTTGGTTGCCCAGCCATGTTGGAATTGTGGCAACACATGTACAATGGCTGATGCTGCAGCTAAAGCAGCTCTCAACAAATCTGTGACACCACTTTTTCTTCCATACAGTGACTATAAGCCTGTTATCAGATTTTACATCAGGGACCTTATGCAAAAGAAGTGGGACACCCAAGTAGGTATAAATGAGTAACATGAAATAACACCAACTATTGGTTACACCTACTTTGGTTGTCAATCCAGATTTGAAGAGGTCATAACACGACGATGTCGTATTGGTCATAGCAGGTATACACATGAGCATTTGTTGAAAGGTGAGGATCCTCTGATGTGCATCTCTTGTGATGAAAGAATCACGGTCAAGCATGTCCTGCTTGACTGTTATTTTTCCATCGCAAGGGAATACATATTTCAAAGCATCAATTACGAAGGACCTTTTAAACAGCATGAATTCTAATCTAATAATTTGCTTTTAAAAGAAATATCTTTGTTGCAACATTTTTGAAAATCATGTTTTGTAATTACGTAATAAATTTCTAAATTGGTATGAGTAAATTTGATATCTGCGATTGTAAGCGGTTTTTCTCTCAAGGGGGTTGATGAAGAGTAAAATTATTGTCCCCCTATGAGAGTATGTAAGACCACATCATTCAAAGTACGTTTATTTCTACCAGAGTTTTAATCGTAGAATACTTGTAATTTTAATTGTTGGCTTAACCTTCAAACAATCACCAGTAGCCAGAGGGATGGTGTAAATCTTGCCGAGTACCATGTAGGTAGCTGAAGTACCGTAAGTCCCCATGGAACCTAGTATGGTGACCTACCTTTGGTTGTTGGTGATCTTTTACCCATTTTTATTTTGTATTGTTATGAATAGTTCAAATTTTATAATGACATGCTAGTTTTAAATATACGTCTGTGACAATCTAGTTATTTTACTATCCTTTGTCGAAAGGTTTTATAGTTCAGTTTTGTGTTTCATTAACATATAACTTGATTTAGTCACGATATGGTTGAAATATTGCCGATGTGACTATAAACTCACTCACTCACTTATAACTTGTATCTAATTCTTTCATCAGTATTTTTTTTTATGATCAGTAACTATTTGTATATAAATTCCTTTTTAGAAGTTTAAAGAATTTCCAGTGATGTGATTGGTTTATTTGCGGTTCACATGACCCGTTCATTTTTCAACAAACATCATTAAGTGATGTTAACAAAGAATAGACGTCACCTTTTGACATTTGCATGATTTTTGACCTGAACTATATATACAACTTCTCAATGTCTTTCATTTCATTTGTTAACATTTTGAACAGAAGAAAGCATGGTCTCATTATTAGTATTTATCATCTACAGAACTGCAGCGTGGCTGGTCGCAGAGCCTTGATGGTCAACAACAAGTAAAACAACATCGTGTAGCTATCTTCATTTGCATTAGTGTGTTTTTAATTGACGACACTCCAAGTCATAACCATGCCCAGCACCGCGGGAGATGTTACAGACCCAACGATTCCTATGGCGACGGGGAATACCCAAGGAGGAGGTAGAAGTGCACCTTTAAGACAGAGAGAATCATGGCATAGACATCTGGACTACATGTTAACAATGGTCGGCTACAGTGTCGGATTAAGCAACCTGCTGAGGTTCCCCTATATCTGCAACAGAAACGGTGGAGGTAAGCGTGATATCCCTCCAGATTACATATTTGCTCTTCTCTATATGTCACTCTTAAATTTAATGTAAATATAAGCTACAAAGAGTCCACTGTATGAATTCAGCTATATCATCAGCAGCATGTGTTTCTGAATGTAAAGTAACGCTATCATTACATCCCTACTGCTTGTGTTTAGTACATTAATAGATACAAAATATACTTTCTTTCAGGAGCTTTCTTGATCCCGTTCATCGTTTGTGTTCTGATCGCTGGGTTCCCAATGTTTTTCCTTGAGTCGGCAATCTCTCAGTTCTCGGGAAAGGCTGCCAAACAAATGTGGAGCTTTTGTCCCATGTTCAAAGGCCAGTGTACATTTCCTATGATTATATACTTGATACTACTGATATATATCGTTTTAATTAAATCTTTATTTAGATATCAGGAGAAAATTATGCATTTCTGGTCTGTGATACTACACGTCTACAAGTTAAAACTGTTTCCGCTCTGTGCGACTTGAAACTGTTTCCGCTCTGTGCTATGATTCTTGTTCCAATGTTTTTTAGTTGGCTGTATGTAGGGAATGGAATACCTTAAACACAACGTCATGTCAGTAAACATTTCAAATGACACGTGTAAATCTGTTATCTTATTAAAGAATTAAAGATTAAAGAATAGTTCACTATGTGAAAGTGAATGCTAGCTATGGAAGTCTGGCAAACTGATTTATACTTCAAACTTTATGTCAAAACTGGATATTCTCAAAATCGTAACATGTGTTCTACAGGGGACTCATTCACAACGCGTTCGTATCTTAGACTCATCGTAAGAGGTTACGGCCATTTGCAAATTCAATTACTTCGATCGTCGCTCTCTTGATAAGGGTGAACTTTCAATAGGTATTTCCCTGTGAAACCCACGAATATTTATTGAAAGGTGAGGACCCTCCATTCTGCATCCCTTGTGAGGAAAGAATCCCGGTCAAGCATGTCCTGCTTGACTGCATTGAAATATCCATCACAAGGGATAAGTATTTCAAAGTATCATCCATCAAGGATCTTTTAAGTCAAATAAGTGCTCTTCTTATCATCGTTTTTTTAAAAGGAATAGAATTAATTGATAAATTAAGATAATATGTATAGTATATAGAAAGTGATTTTTTTGTTTTGGTAGAATGAATTTTTAACTGAGATTGGTAGTGGCTGTATCGTCACAGGGGATAAAAGTATCGTAAAACAATTGTGCCCCTCAGAGGATATGTAAGTCCGGTATCATTCAAAGTATTTTGCCATTTCTCTGTGATTTTAATCGTAGTATTTTTGTTGTTTTAACTGTTTGGCTCATATTTCTGATCATCACCAGTAGCCAGAGGGATGGTGAAAATCCTGCAGGGGTACCATGTAGGTAGCAGAAGTATCGTAAGTCCCCATGGTCCCTAGTTTGGTGGCCTAACTTTGTTTGCTGGTGATCTATAGCTCATTTTTATATTGTATTGTGACATTTAGTGATATCTTTATATGATAACATACTAGTTTTAACGATTAATTTGTGATATTCTAGTTATTTTGCTGTCTATTGATGACAGGGTTTTATTAATTGATAATATATAATAACTTCTCTTCACGATATGGCTGAAATATTGCTGATGTGACGTTAAATTTAACTCACTCACTCATTCACTTTTAAATGGTTTCGTACGGTCTGGTCGGAGATTCTGCGCAGTCCGGGTATTTGGGATGCGGTTGAGGTGGCTGTGGTTGTCCTTTCACGAAGGTGGCGCAGTCGGATGTAGCGATCATGGGCGGGTGTGGTTACTCTTGGTCGTCCCGACTTTGGCCGATCACATGTTGTCCCATGCTGTTGAAACCGATCCCATAGCTTTGTTATGGTGCTTTGTCCTATTAAATGGTCACGACCATCAGGAGAGCATGTTGACAGTTTGATAGCAGACTCTTCCTACAGAATTGAAAAATAACCCATGAGATGTATCTGAATAAAACTAGCACTTATCTCGTCAGTTTCTATGTCACAATGGGGAAATACGACACTTCTGACTCACGTTTTGTGGTGCCATTAACGTGTATGAGGTATTCGTTGTAAAACTGTCTTCCGAACATAATTATAATTTCTTTTTAATAGATCCACTAGAGGTAAGAATGAAATTGACGCTAAGCCAAATTTAATATAGTGTTGGCTGTGTACTACAATCACACTCAGATGACTTAGTTCCCCATTAGTAATGACAAGTGTCATAAGAAAGTACACAGTTTTAATGAAGAAGAAATGGAACACACAGGGGGTCCAAAGACAAAGTCAGTACCTGGAATGACCACTCCTGGTCGCACTGCGTGCCACACAACACCTTCACAAGGACACTATAAGTCTCTGGATAACAGCTTATATCCTAGGCCACTCACGTTGCAGGACAAGTGCGAGCTCTCTAACGTTGGCGATTTAAGAGCGACGTGCAATGCGCTGTCCCAGCGATAGATTGGGGAATAATGTAGGTCCGTTATTCTGTGCCAGGAAGTCCAAAGAAGCACATGCTGTTTGAGCCCTGGCGTTGTCCTGTTGGAAAGTATGTAGCTCTTGGTGTTGACGGAACCAAGGGACAACGTAACGTCTTAAAATGGCGTCCCCGAGTAAACTGCATCAACACGACCTATGCATACATGGAGCTGTGTTCTGTGCCGAAAATTAATACTGCCCAAACCATTACACTTTAATCGCCCCATCAGTCAGCTCACACAATCATCGTTATAACCTACACCAAGGCGACGCCATACCCGTTTACGTCCATCGGGTTTCCCGATGTGAAATTTCGATTCGTCAGAGAAGTGAAAGGCATGCCAGTGTAAAAGCAACCCTTGTTTGTGCCTCAGCGACCATTGTAGACGTGCATTCGGTGCCAAAGTGTCAAAATTGAGCCTACGTAGCTGCGAAAGGCACGTAAACCAGCGGTGCAAAGTCGCCAGCATACAGTATCGGCGCTCCTCGTCGACCTATGATGGCAGCTGCTGCTCTGGACGATGGAAGTGTTAGATCTCGTAGATGAGCCCTCACAATCAGTCGGTCTTCCATGGCTGTTGTCACACGTTGTTACCGTGCGCGTGAATGGCCTCTGGTACGTCCTGTCTGCTGAAATAAGATGTGAAATCTGGTGAAATTCGATATGATGGTACTGTTATGACATCTAAACCTTTCCGTTCCTCAAGTGTCAATATCGGCATTGCATCCTCAGTGCTATTCCACGGCTACAGCGATTATGCGAGTAGCCTTTGAATGCAATCCCCGTGAGTAATGACATTTGTCGTGCTTTGCACGTGTAGAAACGTGTTTTTTGAGAACTGTTTTTTGTTGTATTTTGGTGACGACTCACAACAGCTATCAAACCTGGCAACTGTTTTGGAGCTTCCTGAACTCCTAACTTCTATTTTCATAGTTCTTTTCAAACTATCAGGTCTAGTGGTAGAGCGTCCGCCCGGAGAGCGGATGGTCTGGGGTTCGATTCGCGACCGCGTCATACCAAAATACGTTAAAAGATGATACTTGTTGTTAACCTGTCTGGCGCTCGGCATTAAGGGGCTAAAACAAGGACTGGTCAGCTCAGAGTCAGTATACTGTGTGGGGTATTCATGTTAAACTGCGGCATGGTATCTCAGTGAGCTAGCACTATAAATCGGCATCAGTCCGTACTAGTACAAGCAGCCACACACACACACACACACACGTGCATGCACGTCGCTATATAAGTGCAATAATCTTGGACGCGACGTTAAACCCCATTTCACCTCACCTTCAAACTATCATCATACTTTCATGGATTGATGTTGGTTCGTTTTCAAAGCGAGTCAGTATAACCTTTCTCAGCAACCCACTGACTTCCTTTGTCGCTACAAAAGGTCCAGAACATTCATGAGATAACTGGAATAGTAATAGTTTTGTGAATCGATATACCTTTTCGCAAACAACTGACTTGATCACTGTTTGATTGTAATTTCTAAACACTAGCTCATGATATATTCAGAATCGAACAATCGACTCTGCTTTTAACAGATATGTCCTATGATTATGGAAAGCGTTTTGGCACTTTTATCATTCTAAAGTTACGATGAATTTAATGATGTTCGTAGCGCTACAGATGCTTTGTGAATTGGGTCTCCATAATATAAATTGATAAGAAAGGTTTGATAATTAATATATTTAAATCAGTTGTACACACACTAAATGTTTCGTAAATGTTACCTTATCACGTACATCTTTATACCTTTGTATACACACATAATAAAAGGCAATGTATGCATTATGAAAATCAAGAACGTCTTCTTATATTCAGCAGGGATTGGTATTGGGTCTGTACTTCTTACATTCGGCTATATGCCCTATTACAACCTCTATCTGGCCTGGCCCATCTACTACATGTTGAAGACCTGCTCCAGCGTCCTGCCCTGGACAACATGTGGCAACAGCTGGAACTCCGACCTGTGTGTTGATGATGTGAATGCAGGCAGTAACATGTCAGCCCTGGCGGGGAATACTTCAGATACAATCACTGCAGCCGAGCTGTGGGAAAATGTGACACTGGCTCACACACCTGCCGAGGAATTTTGGCAGTAAGACATCCACCATGATATATGATGGGTGACTGAAAAGTTCTGAGCCTAACTATGAAAGATGTATAGTATACCCTAAAACATACTGTCCTTGCTTATGGTCATCTTCCCGAGGCAAGAGAGTTAACTGACTTTAAAAGTCCAGTTTCCACCCTTGCCGAACTAGGCTGGAATTCCTGGGCTCGATCGCAGCGCCACCACTGGTTATTGCGACTTATGTCCCTTCTAAGCCTCTCCTATGGACCAATCATATGTCACCTCTCGTATCACTTGCATTTGTTTCAAGCAAAATGGCGGCGCCCCCTAAAGACCATCTGATCGATAATCAAGATCTATATTGTGATAAAACGGGTCTTACATCGCGAAGTGCATCAAATCACGCGAGCGCCTTGATTGAAAACATGAACAGATTTGGAAAATATCTGTTGACAACGAGTTGGCAGTGCACATGCTTTGCAAATCCTGCAATCGACCGAAATCTGCACGACAGTTTACGAACCGGATTTCGATTTCGTTGCGCGATTTTGATAGGACTATGCTTAGACTCGTAAGTCCAGACTCGTAAGTCCAGCCAAAATGTAACTCAATTATTCAAGCCTAGTTCGGCAAGGGTGGAAACTGGACTTTTATAGTCAGTTAACTCTCTTTCCTCGGGAAGATGACTTATGGGCTGCAAAATGGCTAAATTATCTACTGCGCTGTCATCACGTATCTAAAACTGAAAGGATTAACTCCAGCCTTCCAACTATTATTCTACATTGCATGACTGTGGCTTTGAACACATTGAACATCCGCCATAATCATCAGATTTGGCAAGGTCAAAAGTATACCTCTTCCAAAACATAAAGTAGGAACTGTCTAGCAAGCATTTTTCTGCTATGTAGGACTCCTTATACCACCAGGCGAATGCCTGCTACAACAGTGCGATCCAGGTGCTCCAACATCATTCCCAGAAGTGTGTCGACATCAGAGGGAATTAACAATAAAGTAATTAGCAACCAACTCCTTGAACGTAAATTTATCATATTTAGGCTCAGAACCTTGCATACATCCCTCGAATGTGATCCATGCAAACATACCATTTCTTCAGTGTTCATAATATATGCCGTCCAGTATATTATTTGAATTAACTGGCTAGCCATTTGAGTTCAAAAGTTCCCATTATTGATAAATACGACTACCTGGTTCTACAATCAAAATAGGAGGATGTAAAGGTATGGTAACACAACGATTTTGTGTTGTGGCATTAGACTTGGTAAGTATTGTTACTTGCTTGATGTTGGTGTTAGTCTGCCTGTGATGATGGCAGGGCCGTGCTGACGTACAGGCATGTGTTACTTCGTGAACGAGGGTCTGCCCTTACAACCCCTCACAAATGAGGGTGATGACAGTGTCCGCCTGTACAATCTCTTACAACACTTGACTCCCTGAATATTATAAGTTCAATTGAACTTGCCTTTTGAGTGACTTATGAAAAACCACGATGAGCACGTATGCAGTGTAAGTTGGATGGATTGTTGACATCAGATTGGGCTTCGTGACTGTACGTTATATTATGAGTCCATCAAACCTGTCATGACAGCTTCAGGCTCAACGGCACGTAGGTATTAAATTTAGAATGTGCGAACAAGTCCCAGCAGCAACTTCATCATCAAAATAATGTCAGGCCAACACATAATGAAGCATATATGTTATTCATCTGTAAATGTGCTTGAATAATAGTTTTAATCGTCGTCCTCAAGTTCACGTTGGTAATACGTCTATTTGAAAGGTCCTTGATTGGATCTTCATTGACGGAATCTGAGTGACGTCTAGATCTATGGTCATCACCAAGGCCAGTTCTCCCAGCCTTAAAACATGGCTGTCCAACGTTTAACAGTGGAATAGCTGGGGCACTCATCCCCATACACACGTGTCATGAATGTTTTGGGCAGTATTTTACTCTGAAGTAAAATAATTGATGACCACTTGGTACTCGTGTCTTCTATTCCTGTGTCCAATTGAACCCCCTATCACGTTCAACTGGTTGTCACTAATATACAAACGGCCTCAACAGACCGTATACGCTTGCAATGAACTTCTTAAACAATTGACTACCTTGACTAGTTCACTTTGGTATGACCTGTAGTTGAAAGCTAGTCACGCTTAGAACTTGTTGACTATGCCCTCGTATTCTCAGCTTAAAGTCATCACAAAAATGTGGTAAACCAGGCTAATATTTGGTTGTTTGTTGTTTGACGCCGCACTCAGCAATATTCCAGCTATATGACGGAGGTCTGTAAATAATCGAGTCTGGACCAGACAATCCAGTGATTGATATCATGAGCATCGATCCACGCAATTGGGATAGATGACATGCATCAAACCAAGTCAGCGAGCCTGACCACCCGATCCCGTTAGTCGCCTTTTACGACAAGCATAGTCACCTTTTACGGCAAGCATGGGTTGCTGTAGACCTATTCTACCCCGTAATCTTCACGGGTCCCTAGGCTAATAAATTGCAAGCGTTTGTAACTACTATTATATAACGTTTCTATCTCTTTATTCTTGTATGAATGAGAAAAGAGAGTTATTGCTGTTTTAAGGAATAGGCTATGTTTGAATTTATTTTGTGATTAGTTCTGTCTAAAAAACTGTCTATGATATACGGGAATAATATAAGTGTGTTTATATAGTATAGCTCAATGACTCTTTGTCATAAAATTTGTTTTATATCCAGATATTATTTTGGATATGCTACACTTCTGTAATCTGGAAGACATCCCATTCTTACGAACAGGGAAGGAACACTATTACATGTAAAGTCTGTTTTTATTTTTGTGTAACACCTTACACCAGTAAATTCATGTTAGGTAAATTTATTTCTGTTATTAGTTAAGTACACATGTGTACCAAAATAACCTGGTACCTATTTATGTGCATGTATGCATTTTGTTGGAGATTTATAATATTTTTCCATTTAACATTATATATGAATAATTATTATATCGACTTGGTTCTTACATTAATTATTATACATTATAACACATAATAGTGAGTGAGTATGGTTTTACGCCGCTTTTAGCAATATTCCAGCAATATCACGGCGGGGGACACCAGAAATGGGCTTCACACATTGTACCCATGTCGGGAATCGAACCCGGGTCTTCAGCGTGACGAGCGAACGCTTTAACCACTAGGCTACCCGACCGCCCCTAACACATAATAAAAAGGTTAGATCTGTTGGTCATGTAAAACGGGTTGTACTATTGTGTTGTTGATGACTTGATTATGTGTACTGTTAATATTACTAATTATTCCTTTAACATGTTTCAGGGTGTAAAATATTGACGAAATATAACGCCTCACACCCGTAGCTACACATAAACGCAATCTTATGATATCGTCGGAATCGCAGAGATTTCTTATGGTTATTGAAACGAATTAGTGACTTTTATTTACAGGTACAATGTACTGAGCATCTCTAGTGGTATAGATGACGTTGGAGCTGTACAGTGGCACATAGTTGGATGCCTGTTTGCTTCATATGTACTGGTCTTTCTATGCCTAATTCGTGGAATCAAGTCTGCTGGCAAGGTAAGACAAATAAAAAACACTAAACTGAAAGACACGACTCATGTTCTGCAGAATGGTATGTTTACGATGTACGTTTATGAACATATGATTTCTTTTTCAAACATATGTCAGGAAAATGTTCTAAAACTTTCTTTGGAAATATGTTTAAAGGTTGTCTATGTGACCGCACTGCTGCCATACATTCTTCTTGTCTCCATCTTTATCACGACGCTGCTTAAACCTGGAGCTACAGACGGCTTACTATACTACTTCGTACCGGATTTCTCACAACTACTTGACATACAGGTATTTCGACACTTGAAATGCAGGTGAGTTAGTAGCATCAACACCTGAAATGAAGGTGTGTTACTAGCTTCAACATTTGAAATGCAGGTGAGTAAGTTGTGTCGACACTTGAAATAAATGAGTGTTAGATGCATAAACATTTGAAATTTGTTATACATTTCCGACACAATCGGACTAACTGACATTGATATGTCAACTGCACAACACGTAAAATCCCAATGTATTTCCACTCTATGTTGTCGAAAAATTCGTTTCAGTGTTGACACGTTTCAGGTGTGGCTGGAAGCGTGTTTGCAGGTATTTTTCTCACTGGGACCTGGATGGGGAATGATTAGTACCGCTGCAAGCTACAAAAAGTTCAACGAACCTTGTCTCAGGTGAGTAGGAATTATGTCATTGGTTGGAAAAAACAAGTCACAGAGCTTTGCTAAATGTCTCCCTGATGAGGCTTTAAGATAAGCACAAAAATGATGCAGGTCGAGGACATTTAACTGCATTTATCTTGAAAACTTATTACTGTAATACTGTCTTTATATATATACAAAGGGATACTACAACATATCCATGATTCTTAAGCTCTTAATTCGCTAAACAGGACGATTCCTTGGGAATGATATTATATTCTAATTTTCGAGGTTTGTAATAAGAATTACATAATACAAATTCACAGAGATTGCCTCATACTGACCATAGTATCAGAGGGAACCAGCATCTTTTCTGGTTGCGTGACGTTTGCTGTTCTTGGGACAATGGCACAGAAAACGGGTGTCCCTATTTCCGAGGTAGTTTCGACAGGTAGGTAATATTTTATTGATACAAACATATTCAACAACGTTTATATTCTAACTACTAATGAAAGATGGGATCAGTAAACCAACAACCTAACAAACCGAAAATAACCATTAGTTGAGAAGTAAGAACCTATCATTTGAACTATTGTCTTTGTTCCTGAACAACCATTAAATATCCTGCTTTATTCCCAAAGTTGAAGCACAATATCTAAATTCTGGGTCAGAAAAAGAAATATACTCCATACTCGATGATATCAATATTATCAAAAGTCAAAACCTGTAGCAGATTCTCGCTTGTCATTTGACTCACCAACACTAACACCATCATATTGAATTACCAAATGCAACAGGGGGATTTGTGGACTGTGACTTGAGAAAGTTATACAATATTTATAAAAACTGTCGACGAAGGACAGTATAATAACTAGCAATATATCACGGATTGACCTAAAACTCGTTGTAGAACATTAAAAATATTTCATTATTGAGGTACGACACAATATAAAAAAAGGCTATAGATCGCCAGCAACAAAGTTAAAATCACCTTACTGGGGACCCAGGGGACTTACGGTACCTCTGCTACCTGCATGGTTCCCCAGCAGGATTTACACTTCCCCAAGTTACTGGCGATTGTTGCGAGTTTAGCCAGAACTTAAAAGTGAACAAATATTCTGCAGTTAAGATGGAGGTAAATAAAAATATACTTTGAAAGAGGTGGTCTCAGGGGGACAACAATTTTACTCTACTTCTGGACCGCCTCCGTGGTCTAGTGGTAGAGCGTTCGCCCGGAGAGCGGAAGGTCCGGGGTTCATTCCCCGACCGCGTCATACCAAAATACTTTAAGATGGTACTTGTTGTTACCCTGTCTGGCGCTAGGCATTAAGGGGCAAAAACAAGGACTGGTCGGCTCGGAGTCAGTATACTGTGTATGAGTGGGGTATTCATGTTAAACTGCGTCATGGTTTCTCAGTAAGCTAGCACTATAAATCGGCATCAGTCCGGACTAGTACAAGCAGCCACACACACACACACACACGTGCATGCACGTCGCTATATAAGTGCAATAATCTTGGACGCGACGTTAAACCCCATTTCACCTCGCCACCTTACTCTACTTCAACCCCCGTCGAGGGTTTAGCCACTCACAATCTCAGTTATTAATTATGCACTACCGACTTATAAGATACATAAGTTTTTACATCAAAATGTGTGAATGAGTTCTATATTTTTTAAAAAGTTAATGAATAAACATTAAATAACAAGGCTAAAAAGGTCCTTAACGGTTTTGACACTGAAATAGTTATCCCTTGTGATGGAAAAACCAATACAGTCAAGAAGTCGAGAGTGTGAACTTCAACAACCCAGAAAACATTCTTTGTACTCTAAATTATTGATTGTGATGTATGTGTCTTATGTGAAAAGTGAAAAGAACAATTTATCGGTCTGACAGAATGCCTAAGAGTCAGAATGAGAGTCCACAAGGACCTGCTTGACCGTGTTGACATTTCCATCACACAGGATAACTATTTCAAGTTTCTTCCATAATCAGATTGCTCAGAAGTGCTCCTTTAATTAAACGAAATTGAATTAATTGATAAATTTCGATGTATAAATATATGTTTTTTTACAATTTGGTTATATGTGATGACTAACTGAGAATGTTACTGGCTGTGCCCTTTCTGGGGGTTGAAGTAGCGTACATTTATTGTACCCCCTGAGAGGGTATGTTAGCCCACTCACTCACAGTATTTGTGTACCAGTGTTTTAACAGAAGACTATTTATTTGTCTTAACCTATGGGTCAAAAATGCAACCTTGTCCATAATCATCAGTGACTAAAGGGATGGTGTAAACCCTGCTGGAGCACTATGCAGATGGCAGAGGCACTGTAAATCCCAATGGTATCTAGTGTGGTGGCCTAACTTTGGTTGATGGGGATCTATAGCCCGTATTTATATTGTATTTTTTAATCTATCATGATCTTTCATGGTTAAATGCTAGTTTTAATAGTGAGTGAGTTGGATTTAACGCTGCTTTTAACATTATTCTAGTTATTTCACGGCGTGTCAGCTTAATGTTGGAGGAAAGCCCGAACTGATGCAGGTCTCTGACGTTTAGTTTTAATATAAATCTGTGAAACTCTGGTTGTTCACTGACCTTTGTTGAAAGGTTTGTATATGGTTATTATTATTCATGTATAAATTGTTCTTGTCACTATATGGCCGAAATATTGCCGATGTGAAGTTAAATTTCAACTCACTCACTCACATGCACTTTGGCAAACATCGTTCGTAAAAGGCAAAGTTATTAAGAACAAGGTGAACAAAACTAGACAGGAAGATGAATCTACGATTCAGGACTGCCAGGTACACATTTAAATCTAGGCCAAGATGTACAAAGTACTCATAGTATGTGCATTGACACATAGTTTCTCTGAAACTAAAATCTTTATTCATTGAATGCCAGAATATTCACAAATAATACCTGTCAACAACTTGAATCAAGCTTGCCATTTTACACTATGTTCTTTATACCCTTGGGTAGATATGTTTTCTACAGATAAATCTTTTTTTCTACTTAAGGTCCCGGTTTAGGATTTGTAACCTATCCAGACGCTCTAGCACAACTTCCATTGCCGCAGCTGTGGTCATTCATGTTCTTTCTGATGTTGTTGATGGTTGGTTTAGATTCGGAGGTACGAAAGAATAACAGTAAAATGTTGTTTATATGTATATCTTAGGTATCTGAAGGCCATAGGATTCGTGAAGGTCCTAGTTAGAATTAGTCGTCATCAACCAATGCTTGTGGTAAGAGTCGAGTGACGGTAGTCAGACTTGGATGCTCATGATGCGAATCACGAGATTGTCTTGTCCAAGTTCGTTTATTTACAGACCGCTGTCATGTAGCTGGAATAGTGCTAAGAGCGGCGACAAACAAACGAGTCCACAGACCATAAGGTCAGTTTAGTTTATGGATTCCAGTTTCACTGCATTCAGATGGACGTCCCCGTTGTTGAGAACTGTAAAATTACTTGAGTAAACACATGTAAAGCGAAGATGTGACTCCCCTGTAACATAACAATACCTTCATCTCTTCCAGTTCATGGGCGCTGAGGTAGTCATTACTGCTTTGGTTGATCAGTACCCACGACACTTGGGCAAGAGGAGGATGCTGGTAACAGCAGGAGTTTGCTTTATATCATTTCTTCTTGGAATCGTTTTCTGCACGCAGGTGATTATACAGTTTACGTTATACAATGTATGACACACAGGATGTATTGAGTCGAGGAATAACCAGGGGGAATAATAGGACGTTGTAGATGAGATGATGTTGCTAATCAGGAACACTGTTTTAGTTCCCCAACGCATCACATATGAAGTAGAAGCAGAACGATGTATATAGCAACCAGGGGAACTTGAGCACTAGAAGATGTAGTAGCAGCAGCACTGGTTTAAGTAAAAGTAGTATTTGTTTGTTTGTTGTTGAACGCCGCACACAGCAATATTCCAGCTATATGACGGCGGTCTGTAAGTAATCGAGTCTGGACCAGACAATCCAGTGATTGATATCATAAGCATCGATCCACGCAATTGGGATCGATGACATGCATCAACCAAGTCAGCGTGCCTGACCACCCGATCCCGTTAGTCGCCTCCTTCGACATACATAGTCGCCTTTTGGGCAAGCATGGGTTCCTGAAGACTTATTCTACCCCGGATTTTCATGGGCCAGTGAAAAAAGTAGTAGAAGAAGAAGCGCCAGTGGTAGAAGCATGTGCAGTAGTTATAACATTGTTTGTCGTGGGAGGCGACTGAATGGATTGGGTGGTCTGGCTCGGTGATTTGGTCGATGCATTCCATCGTATCCCGATTGTGTGGATCGATGCTCCTAATCCCCATCACGGGGTTGTCGGGTCAAGACTTGCTATTTTACCGAACATCGTCCTATAGCTGTGATATTACTGAGTGAGTCATAAAACAAACAAGGCAAATGAACTTACACAAGTAGAATGGGGAAGACAACATAGTTGAAGCGGTATTCCAGAATAATGTATAACAATTACCTCGTGTGACCATACACCCTTGACTTATTGCAGGGAGGGCCGTACATGTTCCAGCTGTTAGACTGGTATGAAGCCTCTCTTGCACCCATGGTTTTCTGCACATTGGAGTGTGTTGCAGTGGGGTGCATATATGGTTCGTATACACGTTATCACACAATACTACCAATAGTCCATGCAGGAAGCAAAGGCACTGTCAGTACCCATGTTCCCTGGTATAGTGATCTCCTTTCAGTGACAGACGATCTCTAGCCCATTTTCATATTGTGTTGTTCATTAATACTTACTGCTTTGTAATATTCTCAACTAGTTTAAAATCAATTCTGTGATATTCTAGTTATTGTACTGTCCATCGTTGACAGGTTTTTATTTAGTCTAAATAAACTGACGTCGAAAAGAAACTTTACCATCTGAAAATATAAATTTCAGACAAAGTATAATCTTTTTTTCGATGAAACACATAACCTAAATACAACAACAGTGTATGCAGAAAATGTTAATAGTCTGTTACATGTTTGCGAGATAACACGCGAAAAAGTGAAAAACACGTGCACCACGGACAACTGCTAATGCACGTGCGGGTAAGGGTATAAAACGATGGCAACGGCAAGTCAGACTTCCACAGTGATAAAAAAACACAAAAGAAATGCCACGACTCACAGTCGAACAACGTGAACGATCCTTGGGTATGGTACGGATGGGAGCCACCCACGCCCATATTGCACGAACCTTCGGTTGCTCCCGTGTTGCCGTTACCAACTTGATGCAACGTTACAGACAGACAGGGTTGACCGCTGACAGGCCAAGAACAGGCAGACCCAGGGTGACCACGCCCCATGATGACCGGTACTTGCGTACCTTGCACCTCCGAAATCGCTTCCTGACAGTGACGTCATCGGCGACAAATGCCTTAGGTCACAGGGTTAGTCGACAGGCAGTGGCCAGGAGACTCAGGGCTCATGGAATCAGGGCTTTTAGACCATACAGAGGACAGCTATTGACAGCGCAACATCGTCGTCTGATCTTGGCCCCTCCAAGAAGAATGGCGTCAAATCCCACGTCATCAGACGACTGACTTTTTCCGTGCGTCGAAGAGTTTTTGCGTGTATTGAGGCATTTGGTGGTCACACACGCTACTAATGACTTGTTATTGACCGTGAGCGATTGTTCATATACTCTGCCTATTGGCCATGGTTCTGAAAGCTCGAGTTTTGTACCACACCCTACTTTTGGGGGCTCTGACGTCATTCTCGGTCGCGGTATGATTGTCATTTTCAGTGTTAATTATGTTGATATATTGATCTTCTCAATACACTTTACTTCATGCATGTATGTTTTGTTGTTTTTGAGCAAGAGTGATTTCAAACTCTGGTAAAGTTTCTTTTGACGTCAGTTTATGTGTTTCATTAATGTATAACTTCTCGTCACGACATAGCTGAAATACTGCCGATGTGACTTTAAATATTGACTCACTCACTCACTCGTCACGATATGCCTGAAATACTGCCGATGTGACATTAAATATTTACTCACTCACTCAATACTACAAATATGTGCTAAATAACGACAATTCCTGAAGACTAGCATAAGACAAGACGAAGCAATTATAACGCCATATAGTACAGAGACTGACAGCCATTCCTGAAGACTAGCATAAGACAAGACGAAGCAATTATAACGCCATATAGTACAGAGACTGACAGCCATTCCTGAAGACTAGCATAAGACAAGACGAAGCAATTATAACGCCATATAGTACAGAGACTGACAGCCATTCCTGAAGACTAGCATAAGACAAGACGAAGCAATTATAACGCCATATAGTACAGAGACTGACAGCCATTCCTGAAGACTAGCATAAGACAAGACGAAGCAATTATAACGCCATATAGTACAGAGACTGACAGCCATACATGACAATACCTAAACTTCAAACTTATTTCTATCAGGAATCAGACGAATGAGCAATGACGTTGAGATGATGCTTGGAAATCGACTGTCACCACTTGTGAAGATTCTCATAGTTTTTGTGACACCAGCAACCTTGACAGTGAGTGCTACATGATAAAAGAACATTATTTATTCTTGTAGTATTGATGTAAGGCATTAGTAGTGCCCACGATACTATGCATGGCAATTTGTATCTGATATTGACCCAAGCAATCTGTTAACATGGAGATGTACCAAAAGTTAAATTTCCTTATCACATTTCAATAAAAATGCAGCAATTCATATGTTTGTTGTTAAACGCCACACTCGACAATATTCCAGCTATATGGCGGCGGTCTGTACATTATCGAGTTTGTAAACGATGTTTCAAACTATATGACGGGGGTATGTAAGATAATCGAGACTGGACCAGACGATCCAGTGATTGACATCATAAGGATCGATACACGCGATTTGGAGACAAAGATATGCATCAACCAATTCATCGAGGCTGACCACCCGATCTCGTTAGTCGCCACTTATGACAAGCATAGGGGCCAATGCATACGAAACAATGTTGTCTAATGTTGCAATATGAAAACACCAACTACACCTAAAACTGTATTCTGAACAATGTTACAATTACACCTTTGTCAATTGTGTTCTCGATATTGTTGTTTCAGGCAGCTTTAATCCTAACCCTCCTCCGCTACCAGCCACCGACCTACGGCAAGTACCAGTTCCCCAGCTACGCCAGTTTAATCGGCTGGATCATTGCCGTGATTCCACTTCTACCTCTACCCGTCTACATGTTCATGACTGTCAGGGAGCACATGGCAACACACTCCCTGAAGAAGGTAATATATGTCTGTGTATTATTTGGACTTGCCTCGTCGATTTCCTTAGATCTTCTCCTGAATTAAGGACGGCGCTAGACGGTTCCTTTTATCAAATATTATGGTCTAATTGCTGATGTTATCAATTGAAAAGTCATCTTTAGCTTACTTCAGCAAGGTGAATTGTGCACATAGGTCTGGATATTTATTCAGTACTAGAATTATTGTGTGACTGCTTTTGCTCACCTGTAGGACAGATTCAAGTTTAATTGTACATAATATATAAATAGAAGCCCCCAAACTCTTTCCATAATATGAGAAATCTCTACTCAAAGCAGAATCAATTGCACGGCTCTGACTATCACATGAGTATGTGTTCACGAACTACTATAAAAAAGTGAGTATACCAGGTGTTCGCGGAAAGGTCGGGAAGGCTTTGCATCTACGTCAGAGATCTAGAACTGAATGTGTCAGTACAACTTACGAGTTATACATGTCTGTTCGTGGCGAGAGCGGTACATGGTATGTTACATAGTTCTTAACATTCATTATTTAAGTAGGGTAGGAGTAACCTATTTGGGTAAAGCATTGACTCGCTGTCGAGATTTAAATTTCTAACATGTTAACAACCCTTATATTGGTGATCCTTGTAATGATATGACTGGATTAAGCCTTGGCTACCATCCAACACTTTTTGGGAGCATTAGATGACAGTGCCAGGCTACGATGGGATCACATTTGTACTATTGACAGTTGTTTTTCTAGACAATCATTTTGTGGTCGCCAGATTTGATCAGATACTCTCATTTTGAAGGGTGATCTGTGTGATTATTGGTGATGTGTTGTTTGTTGGCATTGTGTAGCACATAACATTGAACATGTCTTCACGCAAGTCTTTAGGTATTGTAACAGATTCACACGATTTGACGTATTACTATTTAAACTGGACATTCTTAGCAAACCTTGAGTAGTATAGTTACATGGTTTAAGAAAAAGCATGCACACAGCTCAAGTGAGTCACAACCATCATCGTCAAAAGGTTGTAGGTCATATGTTTCATCATTGCAGTTTCTTGCCAATAAATCTTATACCCCAAAATTTAAACTGAAGGTAAAGTTGTTATGATTTTAGATCGGTCAGTGGACGCAAGGTCGCGGTTACATGATAATGACCAACTGGTATAGGAAACCTATTCAAATTAAATCCAAATCAGCATGAGTAGATCTTAAGCTTTATCAAAGGATATCCAACGGACAGAAACAAGTACACTCATTATTACATTTCAAAATGAAAGGTGTTCAATCTGTTGATGACTAAAACTCCTGAAGTTGAGAACGAATCTGACATGTTTACCCGAGGCCTAGCTGGACCGTTGCGTGCAGTTATAGTGTAACTGTGATTTTGTTCCATCTGCAGAGTGTGAATCTTGCCTTGAGTCCTGACGATGACTGGGGTCCTGCTGACGACAGATATGGGGAGGAGTACATGATGAATTCACAGCCAGAAAGCCTCCCATCAAGGCTAAGATCATGGATCTGTTCAAACAATGAAACAACGTGATTTCTCGTGGATTTATGGGGTTTATGTGCTTTGTGTCTACACACATTATTTACTGACAATATTCGCTAATCGCCATTATATGTAACGCACGGTTGATTTGTTACTTCTGTGGCCTGGACATCTAAGGCGCTACAATTCACTGTTAAGACGTGCCAGGACCTTATAATCGCTGGTTCGAATCTCATTTGCACCCTTATTATGATTTTGGGTTTATCAGCACCATACCCATACCCATGTTCAAGGTTCATTGGAGTAGATCCGATGTTAGACGTTCACTGCCTAGGACTTTTGATCTAACATCAAGCTGACATGGCGTGATATAACTGAAAGAGCGTCAAGAGCAGCAATAACTCAAGGTGTGGTGAGGTTAAATGGGCCGTAACGTCGCGTCAGTTGCCAGGATACACTATTCATGAGTTTGAATCTCACAATATACATGTTGGTTATAATTCTTGGTTCGTCAGCAGATTAAACATATAAAAAGGATTCACTGAAGTGGTCAATGACAAAGAGCTGTCTCTCTTCTTTTGCATCAGATCTCGGATGTAACATCTGATCACTGGTGTATAATCGCTGTATGGAATTTGAAGTGGTGTCACAGATTTGTTGAGAGCTGCTTTAGCTGCAGCATCAGCCATTGTGTTACAAATTATTCCAACATGGCTGGGCAACCAACAACATACACTGTCGTATTGGCCAGTAGCAAGATCATAATATAATTCAACAATTTCTAATAAAAGTGGATGATGACATGCATTATTTTGAATGGCCTGATGACATGAGAGAAAGTCAGAAAAGATGATTATTTGTTTGTATTTAGATTGGTGATTAATGTATTCAAGGGCTGTTAAAATAGCTTTGGATTCCGCTGTAAAAATGGAACATGCATCTGGTAGTCTTGACGAGAATGTTTTCGATCCAATGACAGTGGCGCTAGCAACTGCACCACCATCTTTGGAACCATCTGTAAATATAGATCTGTAAGTATTGTAGGTATTTCGTAACTGATGATATTGCTGCTGATACATCAGTGGATTTGTTTCTGATTTCTTCAGTTTTGTTAATTCAAGATGTACCTGTGGTTTTACGAGTTGCCACGGGGGAGACGACAGTATTCTTTGGATGAGAAACCAGTAGCGGAGTGGCAGACACAGATGTGTTGAAGATGCGCGGAAAAGTCGGCATGACAATGCCAATATGTTTGACAGATTTAATTATCTGCATGAGGGCTGTTTCAGGAAAGAAGACAGGGCCGTACTTACATGGACCTATTAGTTTGTAGTTGTTGGATTATCAACGCCGTGTTGCACTGAAACTAGGCCTTGGGTGTTTTTTGTACGACATGTTTATGCATGTTCTAGCTGTCAGAGTGTTTCACGTACACCTTTTTAGTAATTTGTATGCATTATATATTGTTATTGATGTCGTGTCAACTATAAACATATGGCTGTAATAAATTCGCAAACATTTTTTTACAAATTGTAATATTTACTTCTACAAGTTTTTCGTTTCCGAATAATAAGCGAATTTTAACCCAAAGTAGCTACGGTCGTGTGGTAATCTGGCTGCATGTGTATAGACGACCGCGGAAGGTGCGAGCCGTTCTGACAAAATGGCCGAAGATTCAGCTGTACGAGGGCGACCTATATGTAGGCGAGTCTAGAAAAGATAATCCAGAAAGCAAATGTGTATGAATGATTCCACACCGGTGATTCCGATATGATTGTTGGTTTGTTGTTTTACACCGCACTCCGCTATTAATATTCCAGCTATATGACGGCGGTCTGTAAATAATCGAGTCTCGACCAGACAATCCAGTGATTGATATCATGAGCATCGATCCTTGTAATTTGGATCGCTTACATGTATCAACCAAGTCAGCGAGCCTGACCACTCGATCCCGTTAGTCGCCTTTTACGACAGGCATGGGTTGCTGAAGATTATATGAGCTACGAAAAGAGATGGCATGGCACATAAAGTGATATACATTGAGGATGTACTGTTTGTTTGTTGTTTAACGCAACGCGCGGTCAGCAATATTCCAGCTATATGACGGCGGTCTGTAAATAATCGAGTATGGACCAGACAATCTGGTGATTGACATCATGAAGATCGATCCACGCAATTCGGAAACGATGACACGCATCAACCAAGTCAGCGAGCCTGACCACACAATACCGTTAGTCGCCTCTTACGAATAGCATGGTCTCCTTTAACGGCAAACCTGGGTTGTTGACATATTCTCCCCCGGATCTTCACGGGTCGGAGGAAGTACTCGGACATAGGGCTATTTGTTTCTAACAGGACACTTGTTTAATCTTTCCGACCAAGAAACATGTCAACGATATGTCAAACTCATCATATATTTCTGTAAAGGATATTTTCAAGTTATATCAAAGACTTTCTATATCATGTCTGTAGTATGAAAATAATCTAACCATGAGGGGTTTTTTTTAAACAAAGTACATGTATATACAAAGTTTCATTTACAATAATCAAACAGTACACACAATCACGTTTTTGTTTAAATCACTTAACCAGTGCCTCAGATCGTATATTGAAGTGATTCATTGGTTGAATGAAAAAAAGGAAACAGAATTGGAATACACCCATTCTGTCTCGGCCGGTCATCCAAGGTTTTGCAGTCCCACATGGACAGTTTGTTCAGTCCGAGTGGCTCCAGACCCGTGAAGATTACGGGGTAGAATAGGTCTTCAGCAACCCATACTTGCCGTAAAAGGCGACTATGCTTGTCGTAAGAGGCGACTAACGGGATCGGGTGGTCAGGCTCGCTGACTTGGTTGATACATGTCATCGATCCCAATTGCGTGGATCGATGCTCATGATATCAATCACTGGATTGTCTGCTCCAGACTCGATTATTTACAGACCGCCGTCATATAGCTAGAATATTGCTGAGTGCGGCGTTAAACAAATCAACCAACCGAGTGGCTTCAAGTGAGAACGATGAATAGCGAACTTACTAAAAATCGGGTTTATTCTATTTAATGTCAAGACGGTAAATGGCATTATTACCCATACGGGCAGGAAGAACTCGTGTAATAACTTTTTGATATTTGCACATGTGCATTTTGGTGATTCTCGGTGTTCATTGGCTTGTTAAAATTTTACGCTTTTTCATTGGCTGACACTGACCGCCGGAACTACTTTTGAGCTTTCACATTTCATTCACAAACCACACGTGCTTTCATTCATGAATTATATGCTGATTTCGTTCTCGCAAATGCGTTACTTTGACTAGAACAATTTACAGTATCTTCTTCCAAATAAAAACAAAGTACCAATATTGTATTACTTGAGACATCTCTTTAATGCACAATCTTTTAACAATCGATCAAATTTCCATGCACAACTTTGATACGTCTGCTTTTTTTGTAAACAAACATGGCTGCCCACTTGACACCGATAAAGGTCAATGACCTGGTCAAAGTTGATGGCGATCGATAGTTCAACCACTTAATACCTTCAATGTCTATGTGGTGAAGACTATGTTTGGCGAAATGCAAGTTCCCCGATTCCGATTACTAACCGAAACTGTGCCAAATGCACCACCGTCACGTCCGTCCTTTGGCCTACCCCAAGCAGCCGTGGATGACTTAATGAGTGATGACTTTTTCGATCCCCCAACACAAAACAATTCTACAAACTTTGCAATAAATGAAATTGATATTGATGACTTTTTGGCAAGTAATGAAAATGAAAATACCATGAAGAGCAAAGTTTGCAAGAAACAAGGAAAGTTGAAGAAATCCCACCCAATGAACTCAATATTCTCTTGTGCAGGTTTTTCATCTCCGCCAAAAAGTCGGATGGAACAGAATACGAATCATCGACATTAAAAGGGATAAAGGCCAGTGTTGAGCGTTATCTGAAGAGACATGACTATAAACACTCGTTGTCAGACTCCGTGCATTTCATTAAATTTCGAGAAGTTTTAAAATCTAAACAAAAATCCCTGAAAAAGCATGGTAAAGGCAACTTACCCCAGCGGGGCGAGCCCGTGTCAGATCTTGAACTAAATAAACTCCGTGAATCTGGACAACTTGGCACAAGTTTACCTGATGCAATCTTTAACACATTATGGTGGAACAACACCATCTACTTTGGTCTGCGTTCTGCCACCCTTCACTGGCGCATGCAATGGGGCGATGTCATTCTAAAAAAAGATACTGATAAAAGTCGATATTTCGAAGACATATTTTTAATCACCTGAAGGCACGAAAGTGAGTTATAGAAAATAATGAATTGTTTGTGTTCTGATTGATAACTGATATGTTTAAGAGCTGTAAAAATGGCGTTTGCTTCTGATGTGAATATGGAACTGTTTTCGGGCAATCTTGAAGATATTGTTTATGAGCCCCTAAGGACAGAAGGAGCAGGTCTGTCGGACGAAGAAGGTCTCGAGAGACTCTGGTCTTATCTGGGCAAATTCGCCAATATTACAAAGGAAATGACGCCGGAAAACAGGGTTGACCTCCTTAGTGATGCCCTTCTCCACTTTGGCAAAAACATTCAAGACAAATGTGGTGTGTAACAATCAAACTTAATATTAGCAAATGTTGTACCAAATTTATTTACATGATACAGTGTCAAGTTTACGTATTTTCAAGGATAATATGTTCATCAGTAAGCTATAAAGGTTTTACTTTTTAATGTTATCTTATTTATCTGCAAGAGTCGTTTGTTTGTTGTTTAACGCCGCACCCAGCAATATTCCAGCTATATGTATGACGGCGGTCTGTAAATAATCGAGTCTGGACAAGACAATCCAGTGATTGACTTCCTGAGCATTGATCCACGCAATTGGGATACGATGACATGCATCAACGAAGTCAGCAAGCCTGACCAGCCAATCCCGTTAGTCGCCTCTTACGGCAAGCATGGGTTGCTGAAGACCTATTCTGCCCCGGATATTCAAGAGCCGTAAAAGGCCGTCATACATATAGCTGGAATATTGCTGGATGCGGCGTTAAACAACAAACAAACGACTCTTGCAGATCGGTGCTCATGATGTCAATCACTGGATTGTCTGGTCCAGACTCGATTATTTTACAGACCGCCGTCATATAGTTTGTAAATATTAATTCAACGAAACTTCTTTGAGTTGTTTCACCTTGGTTGACAGATTTACTTAATGCTATGTTTGAACTGCATGTTGTCTCTATTTTTTCAGACTGGAGAACCATACTGAAGTGGTGCCTTTTGATATTTTGGGATTTTTATTTCTGAAACTTTTTATGGAAAGAAGTTGGATATAGACTCCATTAGGGACGGGGTTCGTTTCCGTGGCAGAATTCGAAAACCATTCAGTATATTTGATCGAAACTTGAAAGATGTATCACTAACTTGCTGAAGTGGTGCCGCTTGTTATTTTTAAATTTTCATTTTTAAAAATCTTTATGGACAAGGACACGATTGCCAGATTCACGGTTAACTTTGCGCGACTTGTTTTTTGAGAGTTACAGAGTAGTAATCAAGTTACATTCGTATCCACCTCAAGTAAGATTTGCAATGAAAAGGTTAGTTTTTGAAAAGAATCTTCTCATTTATTCTCAAGCCAATCAAGGAATAACTTGGATAGATATTTCCAGAAGAGAGAGTAGGACGACAGACAAGACAAGACAAGTCATCTGTGCACATCTCCTGTAAACAACACCTGAACACCCATTTGCACCAGTCTCTAGACAGTTCAAGGTTGGACGCAATGGAGTTGTTATGAGAACACAGTTCCCATTAAGACCATCTGCCGCCAAGACACTCCATAGGGCTCAGGGAGAAACTCTGTCTTCACTAACTTACTAAGAATCACCAGTAGCCAGAGCGATGGTGTAAATCCTGTTGGGTTACCATGTAGCTAGCAGAAGTATCGTCCATAGGGCTCAGGGAGAAACTCTGTCTTCACTAACTTACTAAGAATCACCAGTAGCCAGAGCGATGGTGTAAATCCTGCTGGGTTACCATGTAGGTAGCAGAAGTATCGTAAGTCCCCATGGTACCTAGTATGGTGACCTACCTTTGGTTATTGGTGATCTATAGCCTATTTTTATTGTGTACTGTTATGAATTGTTCCAATTTTATGATGATATGCTAGTTTTAAATCTACATCTGTGTTAGTCTAGTGTTTTTACTGTCCTTTGTCGACAGATTTAAATGTCTTTATTTATATATGCTTCATGTACAACTTGATTTAGTCACGATATGGCTGAAATATTGCCGATGTGACTATAAATCTTAACTCACTCACTCACTCTGTCTTCACTTGTTGTTGACTTTGCAGTGTGCACACTATGTTGGATTGAGCAGAGCAGTCTGCATATTCGTAACCTCAACAAAACAATGATGATGTCAGTTAATGAAGATGTCAAGCGAGAAATGGAAAGTCTTAGGACCTCTACATCATGCACTCTTTCAAGCACACCAATATAATCCATGTCAGATGGATTTGTTATCGCCTTACATGATCGACACTTCAAGTCAACAGATATCTTTCTCTTGTCAGAAACAAGAATCAGACCCACAGAAGCTAATGAGAGTTACCTATTTCCAGGCTTCAACCTCTACAGGAATGATGACACAGCTACATCAACTGTACGGCCACCACATGGAATGGCAGTCTTTGCTACCAAACCAACAACTGTGATAGCCAACAACCAGAGAGGCATTGAGATAATGAATCTTGAACCAGTACCTGCCTGACGTAATAGTTGTAGGTGTTTACAAGCCACCAACAGTTTCAGCTA